TATCATCAATCATTAGACCAAGCGACTTGGTTGCATTAACCTTTTTAATCTCTGTGCCTCTCGCACAAATTGAGGGTTCTTGGATTATTTGGCCAAGTCGCTTATTGCTACCTATAACCATGAACTCTGTGTTTTTATTGTTCAAAGTTAATTTATTAGCTGACATCCAAGTCGAAACATTTATTAAATCTGTGTTAAGATTCTCTAAGATCACATTGATATCGCTATTAGATGTTGCAATTTGGGTGTCATCGGCAAACATATCTGGTCTAGTGTGTCTTAAACATTTTGGAAAATCATTAATATAGATCAAAAACAATAATGGGCCTAATCCCGAGCTTTGTGGTATTCCGGTCTTCATGGTTAGGGGGTCTGACAGGTGACTATTTACTTGACAATATTGGATTCTGTCTGATAGATATGATCATGTGAGTGCTTACACATTTCCACTGTATATAAATGTAGAATTAAATTATAAACTTCCCTAAGCCTTCAAATACATATGATATAATACCCAATATTTATGCTACACACATATATACATTTTTCAAACAGCTTGTTACACTGATTACTGTGTGACATTTACATAGTAGATATTATAATATATTATATTTACATAAATATGTCAGGAAAATATCAATAACTCAATACAGTTAAAAGAAATGACAAATATATCAGACATTCCAACTCTCCCCGATTTTACCAGGAGTCTCCCTAAAATTCATACAATCTCCTGGTCTCCCGATTTTTATCAAATTCTCCCAATTTTTCAGAATATTCGGGAAATATCGTAAAAAACCCATAAACATACTGTTTTTAGCAACATAATAGTCTGGGTAAAAAACACTCCGGAAGTGATTTCTGGAAACTGTAACAACACTAGGGTAAAAAACACTCCGGAAGTGATTTCTGGAAATTGTAATGCTTACCAAGAATTTGGCGTCCAAGTTGGCTGAACATTTTCTGACCACGAGAATTGCCATAATAGGCATATTTATTTTGCAATTTCCCCCAAGACTGCTCCAAACGATAGAATGCACGATGGCGATTCTTTTAGTATATTTGTCTTTATTGTATGTTGAAAAGAAGTGAAGATATGAGTAGTTGAACGTTGATGATGCAGCAGCAAAATTGGTAATGTGTCATTTGCATAAATTTCACCACAGCGATCATTTCAAGGTAAGAAATTTGCTCTAAATTGGTGAGAAAACAATAAAATTATTTGAATATTTCCGAATATATAGTATTGTTCAAGCAGAATTTTTTGGTGGTATTTTCATATTTCTACTGCAAATACTTCCAGAGTTCTTTAATATTTAATCATATGCCAAACTTGTTGAAGTCATAACATGAACAACAATGGCTTATTTTAATATTTATAAGCACAATAACATATTTCTGTAATACTATGCTCTAGTAATTTCTGAATTCGATGCACCCGAATTGTCACATGATGGGGTTTCTCAACATCTGAAATTAATTAGCTTGAAAGCCTTTGAAGTTTGCCGGCCTTTCTAACCCTGTCCTCTATTAACTATGGGTGGTTACAATCTACTCCTGACAATGAGTAAGGCCCGGTTTAGACGGCAAACTTTTCATGTGCCAAACTTAATACAAAGAGTGGTGTTTAAATCAGTTAAGTTTGACAGGTTTTGATATGTTCAACATGAGTCGAACATGTGACAAGTCATGTCGTATTATGTGACACAGGTTCAACATGGATTTAGATTTAACTTAATGCATAATCATCTTTTAACATTAATATTACTATGATTATCATTTACCAGCATTGTTAATACTTCCTAGAAAGCTAGAACTTTGTATGGCAGAATTAAGGTCTGTTTTATGCATCGGATTTTGGTTGTGGCGACAATTTGACAGGAGATTCATATCTGTATTTACCTCATCTGTGTCTAGGCATTCCGCATGGAGACAACAAAATTTTCGTCAGACCATGAAATGTTTGTGCAAATTTTTCAGCTTTCTTGCAGTCTTGAAAACAAAATTTATGTGTGGGTATGTAGAAAAACTATAATTTTTTATCATGTTTTATTTACGTGTATAAAAGTAAAAGACAAAGCTAAGCACCTGTGTACTGTAAGTATATTTTATTATTTAATTTGTATAAATGTTAAATGTTTTACTTTATACAGTATGTCATTGTTTGAGCAGTTTGGCTTAACTCAACTTGTGGTTTTTGAGTTTCATAACATCTAACATGAGGGAGCCAGGTTTTCTGGTTTCCCCAGACATGAGTATGCCCCATACTGGAAAGTTTGTGTTTCACGGGTCAAAGGTTTTGCGCCACAATTTTCACCAAAATATTTCACACCAAAAAAGTCCTTCCAGCGAGACTAATGGTGCGCCAAATGCGATTGGTGGAGCCATGAGGCGAGCGCCATAGGCGCAAGCATTGTAGGGGGTTCCAGGGTTTTGAACCTAGAGTCTCTCAAATGCCATTTCCTGGACTTTGGAGGGAAGATTTGCAGAATTCCGATGGTCAGAAAACACTTGTTAAATTAGTAAAATTGAGTATTGCATGTGTGAATTCATGTTATATTGTGTTACATGTGAACAAAGTCTGCTCAAAGGTAAATAATAAAATTGTGTTGACCACATACTTTAAATATTAAATTATCAGTTCAGGCTCCTGACTCAGTCGACAATGGTGTTTCCATATTGAAAACAAAACTGTCAAAACATTTATATCAATATGTCGAAAAATGCCAAAGCATCAGAAGCAATGAGACATAAATATTGTAGCGGGAAAATTTTTCATTTATGTGAGCACACGAGTTTCAACTTTTCATTCTTTCAAGCTCTAGTTGCCCCAAAATTTGGTACATATGTGTCATTCACGCTGTCACGCAATGCCAAAACGAGAACATTCAGATTTTAAGCTAATTATGCACCAAATGTTGGCGCATATATAATTTCTGCATGCCAAAGATCTTTGCGCAATATACAAACTTTCCAGTATGGAGTATGCCGACTGCTGTGGAGACATGACTGTATTGTACTGTACTAGTTCATTTTCTTGTCAACACATACTATATTCATGCTGTATGAAAAATGAATATTTGCATTCCCTTCCTGAGCACTTTCACAAGTACACTAATGGTTTTTCTTAGTTATACGACAAGATTTAGTAGAAGATTGTCCTAGCCCTACATCTCCATGGCTATTGCAGCCAGAAATGTTTCAATGCGAGGCAAAACTATGGCCGAATTCTTTTATTTGTATACTTCACATCGATTCTGTTAAAATGCAGACTTTGTGAACTACAGAAGCTGTTAAAGATGATATCCAGTCGAATCTGCGCATGTGCAGTAAATATTGTTTATGGGGTGCACAAAGAAACCACATTAATGCAAATTACACGAAGTGTCTAGGTCATTATTAAGAATTTAAATATGGCGTCGCATGCAGAAGCGAATGACCCGAAGGTGGAATTTAAATGAAAGATTATTCTTTTTTCTTCCACTGAAATAACCCTCATTCGAATTATATATCATGCCAAGAGAACAAGTAAAAGTCTTAAGAGTTCTAAGTAGCGAAAATAAAGTATCTAATGTGATTTTTAGCAGTTTATTTCGTGAATAAGTCTATTTACTTTACTTTAATATCGCTATATTTACTATTAAAATATGGAGACTGTACGCCATGGCAAATACGTGTTCTGAAGTACGAAACTACTGCTGGAAATTGTGTTTAATAATGAGTGGTGCTTTATGAGAAATGAAGACAAAGTTTGGAATATGAATATTTTTCTGTGCTGGTGTTGTGTACTCAGGTGAATAATATGTTTGCGATGTTAGTCTGAGTGCATATCCACACCGGGCGAGCTTGAAAAATATGCCCGGCCACGGTGGGATTCGAACCTACGACCTTTGGAATACTAGCCCAATGCTCTTCCAACTGAGCTACGCGGTCAGGATGGTTCGAGTAAGTGATATTTCGGGACAGTATCAAATTCCTTCAATACCAATGTGTTCTAGTAATATGAATATTTTTCTGTGCTGGTGTTGTGTACTCAGGTGAATAATATGTTTGCGATGTTACTCTGAGTGCATATCCACACCGGGCGAGCTTGAAAAATATACCCGGCCACGGTGGGACTCGAACCTACGACCTTTGGAATACTAGCCCAATGCTCTTCCAACTGAGCTACGCGGTCAGGACGGTTCGAGTAAGTGATATTTCGGAACAGTATCAAATTCCTTCAATACCAATGTGTTCTAGTAATATGAATATTTTTCTGTGCTGGTGTTGTGTACTCAGGTGAATAATATGTTTGTGATGTTACTCTGAGTGCATATCCACACCGGGCGAGCTTGAAAAATATGCCCGGCCACGGTGGGATTCGAACCTACGACCTTTGGAATACTAGCCCAATGAAAAATGAAATATGGTATAATTCATGATTTTAAGAATTAATTGCATGGGGAGGGACTGTTTATTTTCTGTTTCCAAAAAACGGATTTATTTAAGTGTTTGCCCGAAAAGTCTAACAGGGGGTGCTATTCATGTCACTGCCTACACTAGCACCCCCCCCCTTGCATTATATGTAATGCTACAGTATACATGTTATAGACACTAGACAAGAACTAGTCTGGGCTCCATGTGTGAGACTAACATATTACTCTGCTCAGACCAAACATACTGTAATATATAACAAATTTGTAACAACCTGTGGGAGAATGGAGCATTGATTTATCCAAACAGCTTCAATACCAACCATTGTTTCTTTATAGAATACTACAATCAATTTTTAGATTTGCCATTCCACAGTGGCGTAGGAAGTTTCTAAAAGTTTGGGGGGGGGGGGGCAGGCTTTGAGGCGCACTTTCCGATTAAAAAAGGGCATCTAAAAGTTTTTATAAAAAAGGCAATCCCCAAGACATTTTTCATGCAAGAAAAGGGCACTTTGTTCCCGGAAAAAGGGCACTTGGGAAAACTTGGGGGCCTTGCCCCCCCCCCCGGTTCCTATGCCCCTCCTAGTCCATTAAAAAACATCAAGTTCCCTATCAAGGGTAAGGGACAATACCCTGATGCATTCCTGTCTGAAAACAGAACCCCTGAAGAATTCACCTTGACATTGTTGAGCCCTAAAGAATTTAGTGTTTTCAGTTTTAACACTTCATCCCAGGCTGTGCCTGTCAAATAAAATTGAGCCGCAATGCGCTCCACTTATTTTTTACTTATCTAATGTCAGACGATTTTACTTGCCAATGAGGAAGCTCTGCAGCTTAATGGGTTAAAAAACAAATTTCTCTCTAGGTGCGGGGGGTGGGAGGTTCATCTGAAAAAAATTGCCCTTTGAGGGTGGGCCACTGGATAATATGGGTATAAAGGGATTGG